GAATGTCGACCATTAAAATGAATTTATTACCAAGGATATTATTTTTGTTTCAACCAATACCAGTGATTGGCAACACACTGTTTCAACAAATGGCAAAAAGATATTTCTAAATATATATGGCAAGGGGAAAAAACAGAGAATAAAATATTAAAATATAAAATAGTAATAGATGCGAAAGGGAGAGGAGGTTTTCCCTGCCAGATATGAGATTATATTATGAAGTATCTTGTCTGTGCTGGTTGAAGGAATGGTTGTTATTGAAGAATTCACATATTTTAGACCTAGAAAGTCATGATGATATTTTTGGTTGGCACACTTACTTGTGGTATGAAAAGTTGAAAGTAGTATAATTAGGAAAAAATTGTATGGAGTATGGGCTAAATATAAAAACTTGTTGGAGACCAAAACACCACTATGGATTTCACCTTAGGAAGCCATAATGGTGAAAAATAAAAATATGATGGAAAATTTGGTAACTTATAGAAATTTGTTAAGAGAAGAAGGTGGAGTTTAAATGAAAAGAATTTAAGGATTTATAAGAGATGTTAACAAGATGTTTACAATATCATCATCTAAAGGAAGTACTTAAAAAGCAAGGGTCTGGGGAACAAACATCACAACTAGAGATGTGTTAAACTGTAATGTTAAAGTGGTAATGTTAAATGGGAACATTTATGGAACGGGCATATAACATTTACAGCATGCTATAGTTTAAGAGAAAACTATATGAAAATTCTATATAGATGGTACCTAACACCAAGTAGATTGGCAAAAATGTATAAATCTAAATCAAATATGTGCTGGAAATGTAAAGAGAAAGAAGGTACCTATTAATATGTGGTGGCCTTGTAATAAGCTTAAAGCTTACTGGGAAATGATATATAACGAACTGAAAAAGATGTTTAAGATAACATTTATTTTTTTAAAAACCAGAAGCTTTTCTTTTGGGAATTATGGGATCAGAACTACCTAAACAGTATAGAAATTTATTTATGTATGCAGCCACCACTGCAAGAATGTTATTTCCCCAATAATAGACGTAAGAAGAGGTTCTGACAAAAGAAGAATAGATACAGAAGTTAATGGACTACGCAGAAATGGTGAAACTTACTGAGAGAATAAGAAACCAAGATAGCAATTTTTAAAGAAAGGAATGGAAATGGTTTATCAAATATTTACAAACAAACTGTAAAAAGATTAAGAAATTGACAGGATTAATGTAAAAACCTGCATTTTCAATATGTATATGGGATATATACGGGAATAGATATATAAAATAATATGTTAATTTGGATTATGCAGGAAGATGAAAAGAAATGTAAAGAACCACAGAAAGAGGGAGAAGGGAGTCAGAGTTTGAAATGTTAAAATTATGATTGAATATTTGTTGTAATATATCTAAATGAAAGTTATAAATAAAATCTTAAAAAAGAAAAAAAGAAATTGCTCTTTGCTGGGCTTAACGAGAAACTAGAATTGGATGAATAAGCAAAGATTCAGCACTGTCTGTTAGAAAGATGTAGTCACAAACAGTGCACTTTTAACCTTATTAAAAAGAAAGGAAAAAATGAATAGAAAGCTGAAGCCAAAGAAGTTTGAGCTATTTGCTTAGGACTAAAGGAAGAAAATATTGCTACTGTGTCAGCAAATGGCCAGCTGTTAGTTTCCTTAATTTAGAAACTGAATCGTCAGACATAATGGTTCCATTTTGAGCCCACTCAACTTGTCCTTGGATGATTCATCAGACAACCCTGGATTTTCTTCCAGAGAAACTTGTACCGTGAACTTGTACTTTGAAGAAGGCACCTCTGTTTATAAGGAATAGAAAAAAAATCAAAATTATATTCATGGTGCTCTGTTAAAAGTATGGGACACTGGGGGAAGTATTGAACTGGAACACCCAGCGACTTGGTTCTGGAGGTTTGCCATCTATGCCACCAATATTGTGTCCCTACCCTAAGTCACACAGGTTGAGTTTTGTTCTAGGGTGGCACCTACATTGCAGAACCAGTTTTGCCATTTTCCTAAACCATCAGTCAGCTGGTCTCAAGCATCTGACCTCCAACAGGTCCTATAAATCTCTTCAGAGTGAAAGGGTTAATTTGCTTCATGTAACATTTCAATGCAAGCCTCCTGTAATCTGCACTTCCCAAACAAACCTAAATGCAGCTTTAAAAATTGTGCTTCTCTAAATTTTGTAATGTGGTTCTCCAACCCAAAAAGTGTGATAGACAGACAGACATTTTTGGATGGATTTGTTCAAATAAATTAGGCTCATTACACAACAAACAGTTCTATGCACACTGGAACTAGCTCTGTTAACTCCTTTTCATGAAGACCGAAAGAACTTACAACATAAGGAACATAAGGAACTTCCTGTGGAGGCCTGCCAATTTATACCACAGTATTGGAAGAACTTGGATCATTTGCAGCTTATATTTTTGAGATGGTAAATACGGATGATTGCTTTGATGCAAAAACTTATCAAACGGCACTGAACGTTCTCAAGACACTGATGACTAAATGGAAATATGATATCCATTTATAACCTGTTCAAATAAAAACAATAAAATTTGGCACCCACCACATGGCTGGTTATGGAACAATGTATCCCCACTGTTAAAACCATCTTCTCCTACTTGAGGGGGCTGGGAGTGGGTAAATTTGTTACTGTTGGTGGTTTAACTTCATAACATGTATTTAATGAATAGATCTTTCTTTTAAAAATGAAAATGAATATTAGGTGATAGTGTGCATGCATTAGGAAAACTGTTTGCAGGAAGATTTGAATATACTGTAAGACATTTGTTGTTGTTGTTTAGTCGTTTAGTCGTGTCTGACTCTTTGTGACCCCATGGACCAGAGCACGCCAGGCACTTCTGTCTTCCACTGCCTCCCACAGTTTGGTCAAACTCATGCTGGTAGCTTCGAGAACACTGTCCAACCATCTCGTCCTCTGTCGTCCCCTTCTCCTTGTGCCCTCCATCTTTCCCAACATCAGGGTCTTTTCCAGGGAGTCTTCTCTTCTCATGAGGTGGCCAAAGTATTGGAGCCTCAGCTTCATTATCTGTCCTTCCAGTGAGCACTCAGGGCTGATTTCCTTCAGAATGGAGAGGTTTGGTCTTCTTGCAGTCCATCTAACAAATGCTTGCCTTCAAAAATGTGTATGAAGATAATGTGTCCTGAAATTTATGAGGGCTTAAAAACACACACCAAAAATTGATGTGGAAATATGGCGAACCGAAATAATTTTTTTTGGGAGGGGGGGAGAAAGTGAGAGGAACTTAAACTGGCAGATTCGTCTATTCCTAACAGAAACCTAGGATGGAAGGAACAAAGAGCTTCTACATGAAGTCACTTGTCTTACATCTGTTGGTATATAGAGGGTATGAAAAATCCAAATAAATAATTCTAAATACTGTCTTAATACAACATAGGATTAGGAATCAGGTCATATCCTTTCTCAATATCCAGATACGGGGGGAGGGGTAGTTTTATCTGCAAATCTGTCTGTATGCCACAATTCATAAAAAAGTTAAAAAAACAGGTAATACATCAACACATAAAAGCAATATTTCAAGAATATAAATCCTTAGATTGATTGCATTAGTACCCCATGATCAATGTTTAAGAAATGAAAAGCCATAAATCTTTCTGGAATATTATAGAAAGGTCAAGTGGGATTAATTCAATTGCACAACTTATTGGAATTAAAATTGCAGTTCACATGGCTTGCTGATTAAGAAGAAATGTCCAATTAATTTCAACATATCTGCCTGGATCTACATTCCAACCTCAGGATAATTAAAAAAAGGAACATGCCACTTACAGCTTTGAGAAGATACCATGAGTTGCACCCAATGTTGGGCATGCTCAGACCCACTGAAACGACATTTTGTAATGGGTTTTCTCTGCTTTAGATACAAGTGCATGCCATTACAACTCAACACACAAGAGGGTAAGGCTAAGTTCAACCTAGGCTGCCATCTATGATGGATACACTACAGCGGGAAGAGAGTAAACTCTCATTGAACAATATTTAAAAATAGAAGGTTTGATATGGACAAATAAATTATTCTACTATATAGATCTAGGTGCTCCTTTGGGCACTTAAGTTCTCATCTGTGGGATGTAAACACAGGAGCAGTCAATGACAACATTCCTAGAGTGTACATGTTAGAACATGGGGAGGGATGTCTGCCCAGCAAGCAGGTAAACTTCCTGGGGACGGACTTCCTCCGCATGTGACCAGAGGTGGGTGTGGCCTCACCTGTGCAGGTAATGACAAAAGCACAGGGCAGGCAGCCACTCTCTCTCTCTGCCATTTTCTTTCGATGAGGAAACATCTAAGGGTGCTCTCTTGGCTCCCAGTCAAGAGAGGAGATAAGGACTATCTTGCTACAAGATAGATTCTGAATGTATGTAACCTTTTTAAGCTGTCTGCCTTCTGGGATCATATTGTGAACAGAACGTGAGTAAACTCTTTTATACTTTTATAAAGACTGTGTCGTGTCTTGTATTTTAAGAGGGAACAAAAGGGAAATTACCAGAGTAATTATTATAGAGGTTCTAGCGAACCTGTGCACACGTTACCGTTGCGAACTTAAAGGAGAATGTTTATAAACTCTGCTGATATTTTGGGAACTTGTTAGCACAAGTTGGATAAGGATATAATTAGTCAATATATCCTCTCCTGCACCCCAGAACATTCCCACAAAGGGTTAGTGGCCCCAGTATTGCATATTTCTGCGTATTTTTGAAGGATTGCATTGGATTGTGATTTTAAGTTGAGTAGTAATTTTCTGAGTTAACTTCCTGGTAAGCACATGGTCCTTTGTTCCATTGTGCAGTGGGGATTAAGCAACCCCCCCCCTTCCCTCAGAGTTCACAGTGACCCAAGGCAGTGAAGAATTGTTTTGCATTTTGAGATTTTGATTTTAAAATTTTGAGAAATTTTGAAATTTTGAACAATTTTCAAATTTTGAATTTTGGATTTTAAGATGGCTAGAGCAGCTTTTGATAGTGATGCAAAGCTAGGAATGCCTGTGCTGAATGAATACAATTTCATACACTGGAAGCAGCGCTTGATAGCATGTTTAGATTATAAGCACATTTTGGAAGCTTTAGACCCTCAACCAACGGGATCGTCTGAGGAAGCTTTAGCCAAGATAAGTGCTTGGAAACGCATGAACAGCGAAGCTAGACACATAATTTTGAGTGGACTTCGTGATGAGCAGCTATCATTAATAAATAGTACAGATGATGCATCTCAAATCTTAAGAGATATTGAGCGCGTGTATGGAGAATCTAGCATAAACTGCTTCAGAAACTTGGTGTGTAAATTAACCAGATTGAGGATGAATTCAAAAGAGGAATTCACAGAGCACATCAACAAGTTTACTGAGATTATTCAAAGAATTGATCTGACTCCCAAAGCTTTTGATGAAGATACCAAGATAGCATTTTTGTTATCATCACTTGGACCACGCTTTAGCGCATTTGTAAGTTTGATGGATCATAGACAAGGTCTGACTTTTAAAGACTTGATTGGTTATTTAAAAGAAGAATGCAGAGATAGAGCTGAATCTCCAGTGAGAAATGCTAGAAGCAAGGACAGTAGTTATGCATCTAGGCAATTTACAAAGTCCAAAGAGATGCCTAAGAAAGTGATTTGTTTCAATTGTAACAAAGAAGGACACATTGCAAAGAACTGCAGGGCTCCTGAAACAAAGAAACCCCACCCCTTTCAGCCAAAAGGGAAAAGAAGGGAAATGTGAATGCACATGGCTACTGCAAGAAAGGAATTTAACTGTCCAGAATCGTGTAAATAAACGTAATAAATGGATATTGGATTCAGGTGCATCCTCCCATTTTGTCACTAAAAGGACTATTTTAATGAATTTTTTGATGAAGTAGGATCTGAAATTGAGATTGCAGATGGCAACATTGTTAAAGCAAAAGGTGCAGGTTCCATGAGTCTGAAATGCAATATAAACAATGAATGCATTGAGAACACAATCTCTAGAGTTTTGTATGTTCCAGAGCTGAGCTGCAATTTAATCAGCGTGTCCACTTTGGACAAGAAAGGTTTCCAGATCACATTTGGAAATGAAGAATGTAAAGTGACTAAAAATGGCAAAGTGTTTGCTCAAGCAAAGCTAATAAATGGTGTATATGAGCTTGATCTTTCAGAGAACCAGTCTGCAAAAGTGGCACATTCCAGCCAGAAGGATGAGGCAGATCTGGACCTGTGGCACAGAAGGCTTGGACACAGGGACACTAACGTCATTCTGGATCTACAGAAAAGAGATCTTGTAAGAGGTTTGCAGGTAAAGCAGAGCAACAAAGCTCCAGCAAAGTGCATAAGCTGTATTACTGAGAAGGCTGTAAAACCTTCATTTCCACGTTGTGCAGAACAAAGAAGCAACAAAGTGCTTGACATAGTGCACACTGACATATGTGGACCCATGAATGTTCCCTCACTGGGAAAGAATAGATATATTTTAATATTTCTGGATGACTTTTCAAGATTTTGTGTTGTATATTTCCTCAAAGAGAAGAGTGAGACAGTGGACAAGCTCCAGGAATACATTGACATGGTCAAGAATAAATTTCAGAGAGCTCCAGCTGTGTTAATGAGTGACAATGGAGGTGAGCACTGCTAAAATGAAATGCAGGCTCTCCTGGCCAAGGAAGGAATTGCACACGTAACCACAATTCCTTACACACCACAGCAGAATGCCATAGCTGAAAGAAAGTTTAGGTCCATTATGGACATGACAAGGTGCATGCTAAAGGATGCATGTTTGCCACAGAAGCTGTGGGCCGAAGGAGTATACACGTTGGTCTATTTGCAGAATAGACTGCCAACTAAAGGAGCAGAGCGCACACCATTTGAACTTTGGCATGGGAAAGCTCCCAATCTGTCGCACATACGTGTGTTTGGAAGTCCGTGTTACTTCCACGTGCCCAAGGAACACAGACACAAGCTTGACTCCAGGGCAAAAGCAGGTATCCTTGTGGGATACGCCTCTGGAGGCAAAGGATACAGAATTATGGACTTACAAACTGGTAAGACAAATGCATACCATGCGGTTTATGTTGATGAATATGGAAAAGTAGACACTAAGAACACTGTTGTGGATTCTTCAGATGAGTCAGAAAGGACTCAAGAGTTCGTATATTTCCCTTTTGAGACCCCACAAAGTAATTATCTGCCTTCCAGTGTTACAGCGCCCCCTACAGGCGACGCACCAGAAGACGCAGAGGACCAGAACCCTGGCGGCACCAGAGACGAAGATGAGGACTTAGATGGGGACATGCCTGCGTTGGAGGAGGATGAGGAAGCTGATGCGGTCGCACAACCAGAGGTCAGGATCTCATCCAGAACCAACAAAGGTGTCCCACCATTATGGTTGTCCTACTTTGCAGGGTCGGCGTTTCCACAGGAACCTTCCACTTGGGAAGAGATACAGGAGATGCCAGCTGCAGAAGCCAGTCTCTGGAGGAAGGCCGCGCAGGAGGAGATGGATGCACTGCATCAGAACTAGACCTGGACACTCACTGAGCTGCCTCCCGGTAAAAAGGCCATTGGCAGTAAATGGGTTTTCAAGGTTAAGAAGGGGTCAGAAGGAGAAGTGCAGCGCTACAAAGCTAGACTTGTAGCACAGGGATTTTCACAGCGTTTTAGTGAAGACTATGATGAAATTTTTGCACCAACTGTGAGGTACAGCAGTGTAAGAATGCTTTTAAGCATTGCAGCCTCCAAGAAAATGAGAGTAAAACACATAGACATTGCTACCGCTTTTCTACATGGGCAGATTTCTGAAGAAATTTATATGAAACAGCCCAAAGGTTTTGTAAAACCACATGAAGCACATTTAGTGTGCAAACTCCAGAAAGGACTTTATGGACTTAAACAGGCTGCTAGAGCCTGGAACCAGAAGTTGCATAAAATGCTGACGCAACTTGGGTACAAGCAAGGCGACTCTGACAAGTGCTTGTACAGTAAGTCAAATAATGGACAATTCTCATATATTTTAGCTTTTGTTGATGACCTGATTATTGCCACAGCAAGTGAGAGAGACTATACACAGATAGCAAAGCACCTTAGCAAAGAGGTGGAGTTCAAGGAGCTAGGAGATGTCCAGTACTACCTCGGGATCCAGGTGGAAAGAGAAGAGGACGGCTCATTTCTTCTCAGCCAAAGACAGAAGATCCACGAGCTAGTTGAGCACATGCAGATGCAAGACGCACATCCAGTTGCTACACCGATGGCTACTGACTTCCTGAAGAATCAGCAGGATTCGAAGCAGTTGCCAGACAACAATGACTACAGGTCGGCGATTGGTAAACTTTTGTATTTAGTTACCACATGTAGACCTGACTTAGCTAATGCTGTGGGGATTCTTAGCAGAAAAGTTAATTCTCCCACTGAGCATGATTGGGCAGGTGTAAAGAGGGTGGTGCGATATTTGAAGGGTACCATGAATTGTAAATTAAGGTTACCAGCCGTCAGAGACCCTAAGTTGGTTGGGTATACTGATGCGGATTGGGCTGGGGATAATGCTGATTATAAATCAACAAGTGGTCATGTTTTCATGTTTGGGGATGGACCTGTTGCATGGGGCAGTTATAAACAGAGCTGTGTAGCACTATCTTCCACAGAATCAGAATACGTTGCAGCAACAGAAGCCTGCAGAGAGATCGCCTGGCTTGATCAACTCATAAAGGACTTTGGGTTGGTGAGAAAAGGGCCTGTCAGCTTGCTAGAGGACAATCAAAGTTGCCTGAAGCTGACGCAGAGTGAGAAGTTCCTGGCCAGAACAAAACACATTGGGGTTAAATACCACTACATACGCCAGATGATCCAGGATGGACTTGTGGAGCTATCCTACTGCAGCACCCAAGAGATGACTGCTGACATCCTGACAAAACCCCTACCAAGAGAGAGTTTCCAGAATCTACGTGTCAAGCTGGGACTCTGGGTGGCTGAATAAAGTTGTTTATGTTTTGTATATGTTGTATTGCCTGAGAAGGGGTATGTGGGATGTAAACACAGGAGCAGTCAATGACAACATTCCTAGAGTGTACATGTTAGAACATGGGGAGGGATGTCTGCCCAGCAAGCAGGTAAACTTCCTGGGGACGGACTTCCTCCGCATGTGACCAGAGGTGGGTGTGGCCTCACCTGTGCAGGTAATGACAAAGCCCAGGGCTGGCAGCCACTCTCTCTCTCTGCCATTTTCTTTCGATGAGGAAACATCTAAGGGTGCTCTCTTGGCTCCCAGCCAAGAGAGGAGATAAGGACTATCTTGCTACAAGACAGATTCTGAATGTATGTAACCTTTTTAAGCTGTCTGCCTTCTGGGATCATATTGTGAACAGAACGTGAGTAAGCTCTTTTATACTTTTTTAAAGACTGCGTCGTGTCTTGTATTTTAAGAGGGAACAAAAGGGGAAATTACCAGAGTAATTATTATAGAGGTTCTAGCGAACCTGTGCACATGTTACCGTTGCGAACTTAAAGGGGAATGTTTATAAACTCTGCTGATATTTTGGGAACTTGTTAGCACAAGTTGGATAAGGATATAATTAGTCAATATATCCTCTCCTGCACCCCAGAACATTCCCACATCATCCACATCAGACTTTAAAATGTAAGAATGTACACATTAAACTGAGACAGGAAGCAAACAGGCAGTCAGTTAAGCTCTTTTAAAAATTGATGCGATATTGGTGAACTGGGTAGTGATTGGCAAAATGGTGGCAGCCACTTCCAATATGAAGGAACTTCCAATTATACCAACGGCCGCCCATAGTATAATGAATCACAGCAAACATTTATTTCTGTCTGTCTGTCTGTCTGTCTGTCTGTCTGTCTGTCTGTCTGTCTTGTTATTTACTCCATGAGTAACTCCATGGAGAGTACATCATAGCCTGACCTGGAAATTGCCAAAGCAGAAGGGTAGGCAGATGTCTGAGCCTGGGAGATTCAAATTACATTTCAGTGTGGATTCAGCAGTTTTAAGGCCCTTCGAATAGCAATCTGGAAATACATTATGACTGACACATGAGCCTGAAATATATACTTGCAGGGGGTTTTCCATGTACAAGATGGAGACAGGATGTGTTCCTGTGTCCATCGCCAACATCACACACCCTGCTGGCCCTGCTTCCTTTGTATTTAAGGACATACAAAGAGTCTTATGGATCAGGCCAATGGTCTATTCTCATACCCTCCAACATTCCTTGGATGAAAATAGGGACCGGCCTGTGAGCTCAGAGTGGAGACATCTGCAGCAGAGTGATTACACGTGAGCAGCAGAGATGAGCAGCTGCTCTTACATCACATATGTCCAAGCTGAATGCATGGATTTTAAGAGGACATGGTGAACCGGGAAGCACAGCGTTGTTCCACTTTGTGCACATGAAATTCCCGCAGTGTATAGCATGTGGCCATATACAGACAAGTAGAAACATCAGCCCTGTTAACACCTATTTCTGGTAGGATCATAATTTGTCGCTGATTGAATATAAATCATGGTGAAATCTCTACCTGATACTGGTGGCTCTGACTGATAACAATCCTGGATATGCAGATAGTGCCTGTGCTCCCCCAATGGAGTCTTCACAATGTAAAATACCCCCCATCCTTCCCTATACATCTTGCCCGTCATTAAGATGGCCATCTGGCTAGTAAATAATGGTAATGATTATGCCAACACAGGAAAGGATGCAAACATACCCCGATTCCAAGCGATTGCTTTACCACTTAGGAAAATAGATTAAAACCATAACTCACTGTAAGTCATGCACAGCCACCTGTTGCATCAAAATACAGAATATTCTCAAGCCTCATCTGTTAGCTTACTGAAGTCACATTTGTCCGAATCAAATGGATGACCTTGCTGTACAAAAAAAGGTCTTTTCTCCCTTTTTGGCATTTGTTGTTACTTTGAAACCTTTTCTCCCCTTCCCCTCTTTCTCTTTTTCAATGTTTTCTAAAGCCAGGGCTTTGTACCTTAAAACCGAGCTGAGTAACACTGTCAGCACCCTGTAGCATCACTAGGACTGGACCACAGGGTGGAGATCTGGGGCCCTCTGTGCCATGGGGGGTCCCCTAAATGATGACACCACAGCAGCAACCCTTGAAGGTTCATCACTTGCAACTTCTTTGCAATGTATTGGCAGGTAGCTAAAGATCCAGCAAGTTACTGTGAGATGTAAAACTGCAGTCAAGTACAACATTCCTACGGCAGACATGTTAGGGGATGTTTTGTACCACTCAGGAGAAGACTTCCTAGGACAGACTTGAAGAGGGTGTGGTCTGTTGTGCTACCATGGAGGAGCACACGGCCTCCATGTTCTGATCAGTGTGTGTTCCCCATTTTGTATGTTGCTGTGTGTTTGGAGAAGTGACTGCTTAGTTGAAATCACTTGGGACTAACTTCTTTATGGAATGGTTCTAGTTGTTATGTAACCTAAGCCTGCCTTCAGGGATATGTCTGTGAACCTGAATGAATATGTGAGTAAACTACTTTTACATTAATGTTAATCAGATTCTTGTGTTTATTCTTTTTAAGAGGGATTAGAAAAGATTTTTCCAGGAAGGAAAATAATAGTAAGACTCAGATGAGTCAGCAACAAGCTGATTGTTGCATAATTTAAAAAGGGGGATGTTTGGAACTCTGCTAGAATATGAAACTTGCTAGCGCAAGTTAGGAAGGATATCATGAAATAATATATCCTCTCTTGCCTCCCTAATCATCCCCACAGTTACCATGGGGGAGGACTGCGTGCAAGGCGGGGTTGCAAAAAAGGAGTAGCATGAGGATGGAGGTGGGAAAAGTAGGTGCAAAGAAGAACTGAATAACAGAAGAAAAAGGCTTCAGAAATGGAGTTAGGAAGGTGAAAGAGGGCCTTAGTAGATGCATGGGGTTGAAAGGGAAAGGTTTAGGGTGTTGTGATGGGAGGAGGTGTGCTGGTCCCAAGGGTTAACCGTGCGGTGAGGTCCGAGTCCAGTCCAAGGTCAAGGGTGTGGTATGGAGGCTGTCCATCAAAGCTGAAGTGGGGTCCAAGGCAGGGAGTCGAGTGGGGTCAAGAACTCTAGCAGAAGAGCAGGACAGGGTACAGGCAGGAACAGGCTACCAACAACGTTGCTCCCACAACCTGGGACTGGGGCTGACTGGCTTTTATCTGCCCTGAGGCATAGGGCGGCCCCGGTCCACAGGAGACTCGCCTCTCCTGGCCTGGAGGCGAGCACTCCTCCTGTGGGAACTTAGTTCCCTCCGCCTCTCTGCCCTGCGCCTCTGCAGCTTAGGAGAGGCTGGAGGGTTACCGGACCCAGAGGCAACCTCAGCCTCCCTTGACGGAGCTGAGAGTGGAGCACCTGCAGCCAATGTATCCTCCATCACCTCAGGGGCCAGAGCAGACTCAGCTGGTGCCTGCACCTGAGGATCCAGCACAGGTGAGGACCCTTCAGGCTCAGGCCCCAGCCCTGGCTCAGCTGGATCTGGAGGCGGGGACTCCTGTGCAGGCTGGGATTCCT